GGGTAGTTGCATACAGAGCTACTAAACAAATTTGTTTTCTTTTGCATCAAAAATGCTTTGCACATCTCTTGAATATATGAAGAATATTTTTAAATGCATGGTTTTTAGTGGGACGGTATGGGCAGCTGTTTGCTTCTTGGATATTTACTAACTGTTAGTGAGTCTCTGATCATCTTATCATTGTCTAATTCCCTTTCCTTGTGTGATGTAATTGCATGAAATTTAAGAGAAATCCCAACAGATAGCTGGATCTATTCTTACAGTGTAGCCATACCCTCCTTTACTGACTTACAGCACCACTAAGTAAAAGTACCCATCTGTATATAGAAGCTTTGAACAAAGGACCCTGGGAAAATAATTTATTGTGTGTTCATAATTACTTTTTTGCCAAAATTTACCTTGTAAAATATTTCAATAGGAATAATGTTTATTAACTGGCACTTTTCTGATGCTTTATATATTTTAAATCCAAATTAGTCTTTTAAGTATAATTAGAAATGGCTTTGGTTTTATTTTTCAATTTATTTGTATGTATAGTTCTTCAATAATAGTACAGAATACCAGCTTTGCTGCAAAATGTTGGTTTTACTTCCTCCCCTACTCTCTTTGATTTTACTGTTCTCAATCCTGCGCTCAGTTCAGTTGCAGGAAGAATGATTTTGAATAATACGGTCATGATGTCAAAACAGTGCAAATTATATGCTGCTGCCATCTGGAATAGTGAAAATAAAAGCTTTATTTACACTGTTCTTTGAAATAATAAACTTTATTGCGGCAGTTTATCTTCAGTATCTATAGTGTATTCTGGGAATAGTCCATGTGTGCCTTTTTATTCTGTGAGCTACAGAATGACTAAAATTTGCCTGTGGCAAAGCTATTAGGGAATCTTGAAATAGATTTTTTTTTTCTTCCTGAATGGAATGGAGAATAGACCCTCCGTCTCCACAACGAGAATAATTGGTTCACACAGGACAATATTTTTGAAGAGGCACAGTGAAACACTTTGAGTATGTATTTTAGTTAGGCAGATTACACAGATTTAACTACAGGTTAATATGGATATTCTGGAACATGGGTGTTTCGATGATGCAAATAGTTAATGAGGAAGAAAATACTTAACAGAAATATGACCCAGTTTTCATGTCAACTGTCCAGTCTTGGACCCTGGTGCTATTACCTTGCCTTTATACTCCATAACCCACAACCATAGTCATCACAATTTGCTTTGGGTACTTCACATTTGCACTTCTTATCCGTATCATAGTAATATTATCATAATGTACTGTAACTGAGGAAATTATTCACCCTATTCTGTCTTCCTTCTTAAAACACAATGCTGATTGCCAAAGTGATTCAGCAAGGTAGCTATGAAGAATTTAAGACTTCAAGACCCAATTTGTTTCTAAAAGCTGCCACTCTTCTTGCTGCCAGCAGGACCTAGACATGATCTGTAAGTGGCTTTTTACAGGAAAAGTAGTGAAAATGTTGAGAAGGTGTGGCACAAACACTGGATGAAGATCACTGTTTTTCTCTTCGTTTAGCTGTGTTGTACGCTTGGGTATGTTTATCATGAAGAGTCAAATCCATTGTACTGGATTTGGATGAAATCCTCTTCTTTCTTTGGATCCAGCTTTTGTATGTATGTCGGCTTGACAGTATACCTTCAGACATAGCTTGGAAAGTTCCTGAAATCTTGCGAAAGAATTATGTCATTTAAAAAAGAGAGATTGCAAGAGCACACTTTTTCCTTTAAGATGAGAGAAAACAGTTAAAGGACAAGCAGAACGGAGTTTATGTGGCACAGCTATGTTTAGGTTTTTTTTCTGTAGATACTTTTAAAGGTAAGTATGGTTTCTTTTTGGTAGAGCATAATTTAACTAGTTGGTATTTTCAAGGTATGACTCCATCAAAATTACTGTTTACACATAAAAGCTGAGTTTGAGTGTCTACTCTAAATGCTGTTGCATTTGTGAGGGCAGGCTCACCTCTAAGACAGGTGCAGCAACATATGAAATTATGTGTTGGACAATGTCTGTAGGTATACTTATACGGAAATCTGAATGTAGAGGTTAATGTGCTTTTTCCATACGTGTTGCTTGGAAGTGAAGCAATTACCACTTTGACAAAACTGGCAGCAGAGGTAGGAAGCTCAAGGACATTGTTTACAGATGAGCAATGTCAAACAGACTGAATACACAGAGAGACAGTTTAGAAATACTAAGAACAACCATGATGGGAAACGGCAAGGCCGTTTCATATCATTCTCTCTTAAGGGTTTATGGGGTAACCAGTCTTTGTAATTGCCTCTCTACGTTGTTCAGATCATACATTCAGTGAAAAATAACTTTTGTAGAGCTCTTCCAGTGATTGGAAATGATACTAGCACAGTATTAAAGGCATTCTCTTAATGCCAGTAATGGCATGCAGCACTGTTAAGACAGCTAACAAATCCAAAGAATGTGCTCTATTTCTAAATCTCTTGTATCTGTCATCCTAAACAAAATATGTATTACATGTATGACTCACTAAGCACAAGGACAGAGAAATCTGCCCTTTAATGGCCTCTCAAAATGACAGTACCAAATGGCTTTGAGAAGGTCAAGTCTGATTTAAATTGTTGATGAATTGGAAGCTAATTCACTAGAACTGAATATTAATAGGGAACAGTGGTATATACTATGGTTTAGAGCCTAATAAGCATATTAATGAACAGTAAAAAATATTTTTCTTTTCACCTCATGTAAAATTGTAGAGCTACCAATATATCAACATTTTCTAAGTTACTTTTCTCTTTACTGTGGCTGAGAGGCAGTTGTTCACTGATTTGATGCTTAGCTCTCTTGCACAGTGTGTTTGATGATCTGTCAAACTTGGTATCATCAAGAGTGTAAAGACAGTTTTGTACAAATCACTAATAAACTTAGAGAGAAAAAAAGCAATTAACATCTTAAAAACTAAATCCACTGTGATAAGCGCTCCAATTAGAAATTTCATTATTTCCCCGGTCCATTTTATGTTGAATATTGGGTTTTATTGCCAAATACCTGAAAGCCAGATTGGAAACAAGCCACAACTGTCAAAAATATAACAGTTCTGGCTATTTGAATCTGTTACATTGTGATGTTTCTCATGAAAATTTCATGAAAAGCATTCATTCAAAGAGATTCTATGCATAAGGGGGATGGATGGAATTTAATTACCCTTATTAAAAGTAAGAAAGGAAAGCTCTTTACTACTCCATCCTGTTAGTATTCAAGATAGATTATCTTTGTTGTACCCTTATGTATTTGCAAGACGGACTCCAGGGTTTCCTGTATGAGCCAAGTAGGAAAGGAAAGGTCAGGTCATAAAAATCCTGTTCTGTGTCACAAGTCAACTCTTGTCAGTTACTCCCAAAGTAAAGACTTCATGTTTATAAACAGACATGAAACATACCTTTCTTTGGGAAGAGCCTATAGCTAGTGAAGGATTTGACACTTAACCAATGATTGGTAGAAATACTAGCTCTGAAAAGTTATGCAAACTTACTGGAGAATTGTGTTTACTATACCAGAGTAGTATCTATTAAGTAGCAACTAAGTAGCTCGTGGGCGACAGCAGACAGCAGAAACTGCAAAGATATATAGGATGTACTTGCCTGCTACACATTTTTCAGAAGTCTGAAGACTTCCCTGAAACTATTTGAAAATATGACATTTTTCATGAAAGAGAGTTGACATGGAGCAATTTCTTCTAAGTTCATTTTAATCTATTGCATGTCAGTAACCACCAATCAAGACATGTAATAAGACGTGTTTTATAGTTAGTATTGATCCTCTTCCTTTTTTTTTTTTGCTTTTCCTTTTTGAACCGAAATAATAGCAATTATTTTGCAATATTTTTGCCATTTTAATGTCAATGAAGAGCAAGATGATGTAATTCAAATAGCTTATTTTACCTACGCTAACTTGATTTCTGAGAAATTGCCTGATCCCACTGTGCTTCCAGTGTTACTTGCTAGTGTGTATCATCTTAAGAAGGCAAATTGCTCTCAATTTCGCTATTGACGGCACTAGGGTGAGGATTTTTGACCATATCTGAGTGTTTTAGTTGACACAGTTGTACCCATTCAAGATCATTATGAATGTCCTGTCACTTTAACTTTGATATCTGCATAGCTCCAATGTTTAGAGTTTCTCAGCGCTTTGCAATCTTAGAATGCTTTCATCCTCACCGCACATATCTGTAGGAGTAAAGCACTGTCATACCCATCTTACAGATGGACAACTGAAGCACAGGGACATTAAATGTTAACACCAACAGCACATAGGTAATAATAATAATAGAAGCGAGAAATATAACCTGGGTCACCTAAGTCCCTGGCCAAATCCTATACTGCGTGCTCACACTTCCTTATGTACTTGTCTCATGTAAAGAAAGAGTTTTTTCCCTGTTTAAATAAATACTTCCAGGGATGGTGACTCAACCGCTTCCCTGGGCAGCCTCTTCCAATGTTTAACCACTCTTTCAGCAAAGAAATTTTTCCTCACGTCCAATCTAAACCTCCCCTGGCGCAACCTGAGGCCATTTCCTCTCGTCCTATCGCGAATTATTTGGGAGAAGAGACCGACACCCACCTCGCTGTTGTTGATAGGCATGGTAATTCAATATTTCACATTAAAAAATAAGGACTCTCACAAGCAGAGCAACATCGGTGTTTTAAAGTACCATAGTGGGAGTCTAATGATTATGCACTACATACAGTATCTATGCCAATTTAATGCATTTTATGAGTAAGTATAAAGTTTGTAGCCACTTTTTTATGAACTTTCTATTTTGTATCAGCGTTTTGATCACTGTAAGTTACCAAAAATACTGCCTGAGTAGCTGGTTTTTGCATCAGTTCCTTTCATACAAACAGTTACGGGACTCTTGAATGTTAAGCAGGGTGGTGACTGGGGCTTTCATGAGTTACTATGTAACTAATGTGAAATCCTTCAAATCATGCATTTCTTTTGCAGAGGATCAAATTCCCCGAGGTTTCCCCACCATTGATATGGGCCCACAGCTGAAGGTGGTTGAACGAACACGTACAGCTACCATGCTATGTGCAGCCAGTGGCAATCCTGATCCCGAAATAACTTGGTTCAAAGATTTCTTACCTGTTGACACAAGCAACAACAATGGCCGCATCAAGCAGTTACGCTCAGGTAAGGTCTTGTTACTGTTTCCACTAACGCCCAGAGTTGTTCTCTCTCACCTTTTCTTTCTTTTCTCTTCCTTTTTTTTAAATTTTTATTTATAGGTAATAATTTCTCTTTCTCCTCTCTTTTCTGTGTTACTGAGTGTGTTGTCCATGTCTGTGATGTTGTCATAGCCTTTTCTAGAGTCTGTCTCTATGTGTTTTGCAGCTTCTGTTTACTCCACATTGCTCACTGCTGTGACTGTACTTTTTGATAATTTTTTTCTTTACTGCTTTTTGCAGTACTTGATGGATCCATTTTCTCCTCTTTCTTTCTTCTTTCCTTTTTATTTTTTTTTAACAAATTTATTTCAACATTGGACTTCATTCAGAAATTGCAAGGAGTACCAATGGTTATATTCATCAAAACCAAAACCTGCATTAGACACTTCAATGAAAATTTAAAATGTGTTTTGTGCTGTCTTTTCCACATTTGACTCCACCAAAGATTAGCCAGTTTGGACACATCTTCTTTCCTCTCACAAATACATAAAACACAATACTTTTTCCCATGCACAATTATACCTTAAAAAGAAAATTAAAAAAAAAAAAAGGAAAAGAAATCCTTGGGTAATCTATGGAATAAAGTTTTTTTGCTGGCTGAGCATTTTTCCAACACATTTAGCCACAGTAGTGTGCGCCCACGCTAAAGCTTTATCAATCCTACATTTTCTGGAACTACAGAAGTCTGCTTTTGGTGTAGAATCCAGCTTTTGCTGCTCTCTCTCTCTCTTTGCCCCTTGCACCTCCCTAGCAGTCCTTTCACTCTCCTCCTGCCCTAGTTTATTCTTTTGCTCTCTTTAGATTTAAAAAAAACCAAACACTCTAAATTTAAAAAGTTTAAAGCTTATCCCTAAATAAGATCATTGGGATATAATGAGCTTTTTTCTTTGGCAATTGTAGTAGATATCGTTGTAGAATCTAAGTTGTTTAATCACGTGTCTTCCCAGAATTCTCAGCTTTTGACCTGTCCTGTGATGTTAAATCGTCTTGTTAACTGACTTTTTGCTTGTTGTCAGCAGAACTGTGTAAATTAACCTTCTGTTAATGTAAATTAAGAATTAATTTTTCACATGTGACATAGATGATTTAGTATATAAAGCTTTAACTGAAAACTTTGTACCAAATTATAAGGAATATAATAATATTTTTATGCTGTCTTTCTTCTCTCCGTATTTAAATCTCCAGAATCTATTGGTAAGTGCTTAGTTCTGAAGCGCACTTCACCCCCACTAATTTCCATATCCAGAATATTATGATTATTATTATGATTATTATTATTATATTATTACTATTATTATTCTTAAAATGCATGGCATGCATTTTACTAACAGTCAGTGTAGTCACCAGATCCCTGTAGTGGCGCACACGCACACCTCCACAGAAATGTTGTCTTATCAGTCATAGCAACACCTAAACGAAACAGTACACATGTATCACGTAGCTGTAGAACAGTAAATGCAATAATCCAGCCTAAACTGCAGTGTTGTTTTGAGATAGCCTTCAGTGTATCCTCTTTTTATATCTATATAGATTTATATATATATTTTTAAATAGAATTTCCAATATTTTCCTAAACTATGTCATAAGTGCAGTATTGTAAAGTTTCCTTTAAGTATTTGAGGCATATTCGATATATATCTAACCCTATATAACCAAACATCTAAGAACTCAGATGCTACTCTGAGAATGGCAATGCAGCCAATTGTAGCCTTTGCCCGTTGTGGTACAATGCAACTTGCTTTTATAACCTGATAATACTATCTAATATATTCCTGTTTTAACAGTATAGTAATTCAAGTTTCTCTTAAGACCTTATTTAATTTTGTAAATCTAATTTGATTCTTCTTCCAAAGCCCTAGCCTCCTTCTTCTCGTACTAATGCTTCTTCTTTCTAATCTTATTTGCATTCATATTATCCACCCAGGTGGTACACCAATAAGAGGTAAGAGTGCTGAACTAACGTTCACAGAATGATCTTACTCATTCTTTCTGTCTTTTCATTCCTCTCATCTTTGTCCTGTTTTTTTTTTTTTTTCCCCCAAAAAAAAAAAAAAAAAACACCAAACAAACAAACCACAGAAATGTCCATCATCTGATTTTTTTTTTTACTTTGTCCTGTTTGGTTATGACCAGTGACTCTCATATTGTGACCTTTCTTTCTGCACACTCCCTTTTCCTTTCCCTTTTTTGTTTGTTCATTGGAAAAAAAAAAAAAAAAAGAAACGATAATTTGATTTGTGATATGCTTCAAAGAAAGCATATCCAGGTCTTCTGGCCATAGCCCAGTCACAGCGTACCATTTGTCCCTCTTTTTTCTTTTTCTTCTTCTTCTCCTTCTTTTTCTTCTTCTTTTTCTTCTTTTTTTTTCCTTTTTTTTTCCTTCCTCTTTTTTTTGTCCAACTGGAGCAAAAAAAGATCATTTTTTTTCTTCCTTAGCTGTTCTTGTCCTGGACCAAAGCCAAGATGGTCTGGAGAACAGTAGCAG